ACACCCCCCCCCAGCTGTCTGCCAGCCCCTGGCAGGCCTGGCAGCCCCCAGCAAGTCTCCCCAGCTGGAGCCTTCTCCTCTCAGCTGCCCCAGCCCAACTCTCTCCTGCTGGGCTCCCAGAGCATTTCTGTGGCCCTGCTATGTGGATCCCACTATTGGAACTTGCTGCTCATGCCACATTTGCTGGCTGAGCCAGGAGCTCAGCTTCAGGAGGCGTTTCTCCTCTCCTCAGGGACAACAAAAGGACCAGAGCCCACCACTGGCTGTCACAAGCCCACCACTGGCTGTCACAAGCCATCTCAACACAAGCCACAAAGTCATTCTTCCACTGAAACCAGCCTGGCAACTCCCCCCAAGGCACCCAACAACAAACGTGGCATTTTTCCAACCCTCCATTCAGGGAAGACAAACAGTAAAACCAACTTGGAGGAGCTAAAGCTCCAGGTCACCTTTGTGAGCCCAACCCTGCTTGAAGCCAGGTTTCTACCCACACCCTGGCAAGGGGACCTTCACCCTGGGGTGCCACCCCACTTTGAGCCACCCCGGCCAGTTTTAAGCCCAAATTTGTAGCTGGGAAGAGCCCTGAGGCTGCAGTTTCTTACTAGGAGGCCGAGTCGTTCAGCTGGTACTCCCTGGATCTGCTGAAGCAGGCCTGAACTCCAGCATCTCTCCACAACCTCTTGATGACACCCGCCAGCTCGGTGGTCATCACACCTTCCTCTGCACTGCCCGCCAGCACGAAGAGCTGACGGGCATCATCCTGCAGGAAGAGGGAGAACACATCAGGATTAGACCCTGTCCTACCTTCACGTGGAGCTTCAGCAGCAGTAACGGCCCCAGGGGATGTGAGAAGGGCTCTGAGGAACCCCCCTCCCCTCTCTCGTGGTGTCTTCTCCCCTGAACCAGCACGTTAATTCTCCCCTGGAATCAGAAAGGCAAATTTGGGCCATGATGCTCCAGCCCGTGGGGTGAGATCTGCTGATGGTGGGTGGCTCAGGACACTTCTGTCACACAACACTCCTCACACTGCTCCAAGGGAACCTCACAGGATCCAGCGTGGTGGGGTGGGAAGGGACCTCTGGAGATCATCCCATCCAACCCCCCTGCTCCAGCAGCTCCCCCACAGCAGGGTGCCCAGGGTCACAGCCAGGCAGGTTTGGGATCTCTCCAGAGCAGGAGACTCCACAGCC